TAAAAAAAAAAAAAAAAAAAAAAAGAATAGTATTTGCATTTCCTCTAATTTTGATGAAAAGTTATTTTACTATATCTTTTTTAAAAAGCCTATCTATTGAATTAGCAAAATTACAAACACATGCTGTGCTGGTGAGCCCATGCTGAGAACATCTATCTGATACGTTGTTGGAAGTAGTGTTACTCAGCTCTAACTTAAAGCAATATATGAACATGTATGAAAAGCTCTAAAAACAGTTCATGGTGATTGATTCTAGAAACCTGTCCTAAGGAAATAATCAGTAATGTTGTCAAAAACTGATACATAAAGAAGTTCATTATAGTAAAAAATGTTATGACCAAAATATCCAGCAGTTGGAGCATGTTTAAATAAATGATGGTATAGCCATATCATGAAAAATGATTTAACTAATATGAATTGCATAGACAGGAGGTAGAATAATGTCTAATTTTAATTTTATTCTTCATGTATTTATAATTATTGTTATAAACAGATGGGTAAAAAGTAGTTATCCTTTTAATAATGCTTTAATAAGGTAAATGCAGATAGGCTTCTAAGATTTTTTTAACCCTATACTGCTCAATTTTAAAATTAAAATTACATGCTGTTTTAGTTATTTCCAAATACCCTGCTTCCTAGCTTCAGTTACAGTTATTGAACAGGAACTTCAGTAATAGCTTCAATTATAACTATTTTATGTGGAATACATAAAGTACACAGTGGGATAGGTGGGCTATCTTGGGAGACTAGATGAAATGCAGACAACTTATGAATATATTACCTTAATCTCAATTTTGAAATGTCTTGTTTGCTTTCGTAGTGTTGTCAAGTGCACCTGCTGGAATGAGGGAAGCTATGGACTTCTTATACAGGAAGAATCCAGTGAAGATACTTCAGACAGATGACTATAATTTTTTTAAAAATTAATGCACACATACACTGTGACTTCTGAAGAATATAAACTAACTCCACAATCAGCGTTTCATTAATACTCAGTGTTACATATCCTTTCTTGTAAACTGAGTGATCGGAGGAGAGGCTCCTGGCTTTAGCTTCTTAAGCTACCATGCACTGTGAGCACATTGTG